TCAATAGTTTTCCATAATGTTATAAGAATAAAAATAGAAAATAGTATAAATCATGTAAGACTAGTGAAGGTTGATAAAATGATCTGAAAATAATAAAAAATAAATGACCAGTTTAGTAATGACTATTCTGTTCTATTTATCTGTACAAATTGTCTTATAGTTCTATTTGTGAACAGCTATTTTGTACTAGATATGAGCAAAACAGAATGGTCATTACTAAACAGGCTCTAAAAGAATAGAGAAAAAAAATCAAAAAAAAAAGTTAGGAAAAAGAATAGAAAGTTAGGAAATAAATGGCGTAAAAACAAACTTTAAAAAAGAAAATAAAAAAAAGAATAATATACGCTAGCCCTTTCCTGCTACAATATACTTTTTTACATACTAATCAATTTTATCTATCTCAGAATTAATATTTCCTATAATAGTAAGTATATTGCTAGTAATAGTAATAATTTTAGGAGCCATACCACTAAGTTTCCTTTTTAGATCCCGAGTTGATTGGATTGAAATACCTTCTGGAGAAAGTATTGTCAAGCTTCTCTCATGGCCTAATGTGGATTTCACATGTAACGGGGGCTCCCTCAGGAAGATGGATCCCAAGGATGCGACCGCACCAAACTTCGAATCTCTCGAACAAAAGCTCTTGCAAAATTGTAAAGAATAAAAGTAGCGGTAAAACTTAATATCGTTAAGCTCAGGCTTATCTCAATTAAAGTCTCTCGAGAGGATGTTGATTCCGTCGGGGTAGGAGAGTTCTCGTATAATCTATAAGTAGTCAGACTTATACCAAAAACTTTTCCATCAGGTTACCCCGACCAACATGAGTATGCCCTTCTTCGTAAAGGTTGCCCCGGCACCATTACCGTATCCCCGAAGGGCCTAAGGTGTCAGCGCACTCTAGCAGAAATCTCCCATATGCACATCAGTCCTGCGAGGTGTTTACCAGTACACCTGCCGAAGTGAAAACTTCTGCACATCGGTGTCTTGTCAGTGGCTAACTGTCGAGCCACCTGGGAAAGGTAACTTAAATGACTCTCTACCCATGAGCAATGATCTATGCAAGCACCCGTAGACATCATGTGTTCTCCGGTTAAGTTCTATCTTTCTTGATTGCGAACTTACGGGGTCTACGACGCTCCCGCGGAGAGCTGTGATGGCGGCGGAACCCATGGGCGCTACCCACGGTCCCTTACCCCCGGCACACCACTCACCGTGATAAGTATCATGCTATTAGAGTCTTCCAACAACCCATAAAGAGCCTACGGCAAAGGGGCACATGTAGGCTTGATTGGCGTAAAACCTTCCTCGATGTCTCCGACACTACCCGGGACTGCTCGAGGGACCCTTCCGGATAGCTCACGCTAACTCCGTCAGTTATGGTCCGTTTTACTCCGTTCTTTTTGGAGAAGGTACCTGACCTTCCCACCTTGCCCCCCTTATATATCCTGCGAACAGCTTCCGGTCGGACGGACGGCAGCGACGTATACAGTGTTATGGACATGTCTTCAATGATTCCATTTAACTAGTAAGACGGCAACTTCACCCATTTTGGCCCATGACGCCCGGGGCGAACCCTGGGGCCGCAGGTACCTGTTAGGGATAATCCTGTCAAGTTACAGCATGTTCGGAGCACTCTAGCTCCTCCCGTAGTCTTCCGATCAATTTGCAAGCAAGTGCCCGTTGATCGTCATTGCGTAACAAACAATCCTAACATTACACGGAATCTTTCCGAGAACGTTTCCAACGGAAGGTAGGGTAATAGTGTCCCAAAGGTAGGGTAAGTACGTCCGTAGTGACACGAAACTGGTCTCCATGGCAGGGTAACGTGACTTATCTAGACAGGGTAAACTCACCCGGCCTTCCGACCTATCCTTAGGCCGAAACCGTGTGGTCACGTTACTTCCGTTACTTAGGTACACCTATTTCTCCAGTACCTTCTGTTCTTCGGGATACCCGGACCATCGGGTACCTCCCGGACATGTTCAGACATGCCCGCCTAGTCTACCATATAACCTCTAGGTCTTATGTATGGGCGTAGACTTAGGTTGCCATAGCTCTATAACGTAGGGTCGTTACATCACATTAAGAGTATGTTTAGGAGTTGTTGGCTGTTCGGTATCGTTATGAGATAGGTTTTCAGAAGTTTGAGTAGAGGAAGCACTTATGGTCGACTGAGGTAGTATAGGAGGAGGAGTATCTTCTTGAGTTGTTGATCCACTTCGAGTAGTAGTATCTGTATCATCATCTGTTAAATAATAAGAAATTATTCTCATAAAATCTAGTAAATAAACATACCATCTTGTTCTAAGAGATCTGATATTTTATTACTACCGGTTGCTTCCTCCTTGATGAAAATTTGTGAGTGAGTTTCATCATCATCATCTGAATCGTTACCAATGGTACAAATATGAACTGTAATCGTCATTCGAGTTATTGGTTCTAAAGTACGTGTACTCTTTCCAGCTGACAGTTGCGTTTGTGTTCCAGTAAGGCTTTTTGGATTATCAGTTAAGCGAAGCAGGTCAGTAAGAATACCACCACCCTGAAGTGAGTTTGCATTTGGAGCAACAGCAGTTGTTGTTCCATCCCAAAAGCCTACACAAATCGGTAATCGTGGATAAAGTTCAAAGCTTTTAATATTTGGATATCCTAACCAGGCAGGATGTTGAAGAACAATATTTTTAAAATATTGTTGCTAGCTAGGAATTTTCTCAGTTCGAATAAATTCTATTAGAGTTGGTGATCCATGAAATCCAACCTTCAATCCACGACGGTAGAAATAAAGTCGAACAGATCGTTGAATTAGTTTGATTGAGGTACTTAGAGTAGTGAGAGTATTGAATTTTCCATGAGGTGCAGACTCTGAATGATCTTTGGTTGAACCGATACGTTGACGTTGGAACTTGACTTTGGCAGAGACATGCATTCAACAAGGGATATGGTATGAGCTTAATAATGACATTGAACTTGAATTAGAGGTAGTAGGATTATAGTTCGAGACTGGATATCCTTTTGAATATAATTTGTATAAGTAAAGTCATTTGATTATTAAGGATAAAGAAATATTGCTTACGACTTGAACTTTGAATAACTTCAACCTCATTATTCTTGTGAGTGAGATGAACAGTTATTGGATAATTACATCCAATACAAAGAGCAGTATTCCCACGCATAGGTAGGATTTGACGACAAGTACATGAATCAACTTGACAAGTTGACATAATTTATAGAAATATGGTAGAAGTAAAGGAAAGGTAAAAAAGTATAAAAAAGAAAGGTAGGTATGCGAATTTGTTGAACTTTGAAAGATTAAAGAGTAGATAAAAATTTAATAGAGAGAAAGAAGTAAAGCTTTATAGAAAATCTTAAGCTTATTAAATTGAAAGAAAAAGTCGAGTATCATGATTATTATTATTATTGATAATATCAGAATATGTATGGTGTGAATACAACTCAGCATCTATTAACTATTTTTAGCAAGTTACTTATTTTATAATACTATTCAAAGTACCACTTACCTGGTGAGTTAGTATCATGCATAAAATTATTATTATTAGAACTTGTTGACTTAGTTAAGTCTGAACTATATGTTGTGCTTAAAATCGTATTTGCTATCATAGTCTGGGGAGCAACTGAGGGGGAGGCAGTTTCCTCCTCATCATCAGTTGGGATTAGTTGCATCAGTTGATCACCTGCAATACCAATAACTTGTCTATGATAGACTTCGATCTCATGACTTTGGTGTGCAGCAATCCATTTGCTAGCGCCAACTGGCTGTAATGATAATTGTACCTTATGACCAAGTGTAATATAGTCTGATACACGATTATGTAAATAGAGGTATGCCCCTCTATGACGTGGATCACTATAAGAGAATTTACCAGGATATCCACCTTCTTCAAGAAATCCTTGATAGAGAGCAAGGGTAGACATTGGTAAGTATTCGTCAAGATCAAATTCTGAAACCTCTGCTTCTAAGGCTGCAAGTAGGCTTTCGTTAACTTTTTCCTTATAATCCTTTCCACTTTCTGGATAGTAATATAGGAGAAAGGGTTGTCCAGTTGGTAGATAGTGCTCCCGCTTACGCTGAAGTCGAATTGGATGAGAGTTATGAATTTCAACGAAGCGATGAATATGCGATCAAATAATTTTCATGTAGAGAAATTGTAAGCATGACTTATTCAAATCACCACCATTGAAATATCCATCGGATTCCAATTGAGCAAAGTAAACTTTCCATGCTTGCGTTTGACCTTCGGTTAAGATATTCCACCAAGCTTCAATACATTGATTCTTAGTTGATTTTCCATAAGAGTATGCTTTCTCAAATAGAAGATCAGGATGATTAGCTCTTCGTAAGCTGAGGTGAGACTCTGCTAAAAGAACAGTTTCACTTCCTATAAATAGTTTTTTCAGCCTATTATAATCTAATAGTATGAGGAAATAGCGATAAATTAATAAATTAAACTTGCCAACTCACCTTTATCTGAGCGAATTAATTTTGGCATATGTAATGTGGTACGTAATAGACGAAGATACTGCTTGTTGACCGAAACTGCAGTTCGATTTGAAATACCAACATAACACCAGACAATGTACCTTGAATATGCATCAATTGCACCATAAATTTCAATTCCAAATCGTAATAACTTATTATGACCATCAATTGAAAGAATTCGATTTGGTCCTTTAATTGAAAATTCTCTCCGGTCTCTTGTATTGCCTAGAAATCTTCTACGTTCTGCAACACCTTCTGGATCAACACTTTTCATAGCAGCTCATATTTGGTGTCTAAAGTTAAAAATAGTAGGTAAATATTTCGCTAGA